CGTAACCAACGCTGCGAATCTCGGGGCGGCCTATGTGGGACGAATTGTACTACTACTCTTCGGCAGATATGGGTAGGCATCGGCTGTTCGGCAGGCTTTGTAGCCCACCCCGCCAGCAAAAAATAAACAAACATCTGATTCAATATCTTCATCATCGTACAGCATTACCAGTACCGAATCAATAAGGTGCATTGCCAAATATATGACCTAGCCGGAATTTGGAGAGTGACGCTGACTCGTATGGTCGACTGCGGTCGATAGCGTCGGTAGGTTGCGAGAAAGAGCCGTATAAGCATGTGTGGAACGTCAAAGATTTTCGAATCCAAGGCGCACCACTCTGTTGTTTCTCCAGAGGAGATCGTACTTTACCAACTCCTCTTGTAAACGCGACGGCCTGAGTTCGGGTGAGACGGAGATCGCTGCGTGTTTCGACCGTGGAGGGTGGTACTCACGCTTCTACTTCTGGAACTTGGAATACCGCCGCAACCGACCTCCACTTGGGATCGAAACCATCGCTGGACATGATAATCCAGCCCAGAAGTATGATGGGAGATAGTGTGCTGAACCCTACCTTCTTCGTTATATACAGCACCTGTGACTTAAGCTTAAAGCCATGTCGCAGCAACAGCATCTCGAAACTCAGTTCCCTGGAAGACATGTATGTTTTCAGCCAAGAGTGGTTGCCTTTGCACGTGTCCGAGGCCGCAACTCACGTAGCATGCGGACTCATGAGTAACAGGTCACGAATGAGTAGCCAGTCTTCATGATCATCACGTCGAAGTCCCCAAACCTGGTAGAATAATGCATATAACAGACGTGCGTGTTGCGAAGGAACGTCGAGCCAATCCATTTGCTTGTGCCTTGGATAAGGTGAGATGGTGAGCCCCCGCGAAGAGGGGGGAAACGGTTATCCTCTTTGGTCTGGTCGAATCCGTTACCCACTGCTGACCAAGCTATACTTTACAGTTGCAATATATAGGGACCGGTTTATCAGACCCTAGAGACGGAGAGAAAAGCCGAAGCGGCCCTATATAATTTAGTAGGTAAGAAAAAAGTTGAGAAATCCGAAAAGCGAAAGAGAAGAAAAGAGAAGGAAGGGGAGAAGACAAGAAAAAGCTGGTTGAGGCTCCACGCGGAAATCGTGATAGAAATAGTTATTGTTACTGTATCGTTGTTTAATAGTTGAAGTGGGTCTAACTAGGTCACGGTGAAGGAAAAGTTGCGATGTGCGCGGTTTAAAGCGATATTGTCGGGTTAGGGAATACTGTATAGTATCCACGTCCAATCAACAAGATCTCTTCGATTCCTAACCAAAATTATTAATTTCGTTTTTCGATCCCTTGCCGAGATCTGGAGCATCGGCAGAGCCACCACTGACTACGTCTGAACTACCGACTTTTTCAAGTTCCTCAGCTTCAGGAAGCCTGGGATGTAGTTAGATCTCTTCGTTAGCGATCATCATAAAACTGGCCTCCCCTTGCAACTAAATTATGACTGAGCTTTGACCGGTAGTGATTCTGTCCGTAGCCTAGCTTATGGTAAGGAATTGGTTTCTAAAACCACGGAACATCCTAGGTGGCAACGGGCGTTGCTATTCAGGAGTCATCTTATGACAAGAAAATGACGGGCAGACTACGTCTAGCAAGCTGTGATAGACTCACAATCCCGACCCTGAGAATGAGTCCAATGGCGGCAAGGGTAGCGTACCTACAGTGAAGGCAAAACATCTGAACTCAGTTACTCGATGGCCGGTCATAGGTAGGTGACTTGTTTCAACAGCTCGTACCTATTCTTTACGGAACGACCTCAGAGCAAGCAGCCTAGGCCAATTACTATAATGGTGAAGTTAGTGGTGGAAGAAATCTTCAACGCAGCTCTCGAGGTTGTGGAGGAAATACCCAAAAGATCAAGTGGCAGGCCCAGCAGTTGCGTCAAGGGGCTGACATAGACGCGGCCTATACTAGACGGTCCTGGAGATAAGATTTTCATAGGCCATAAAAACGTGAGAGATAGCCCCGAGTATTGGCACCTTCCATATCACCAATGACAGTGGCCACATCAAAAGAGAAAGCATATGCATGGGAGCAGACTTGGAACCGCAACGACTGTTTTGATTGAATCCCATGGTTCCTCAACGTTCCTATACAGGACCTTTGACTTCGTGCATAGAACAGGAAGCCCCGTATTATCAGCCGTCTTTCGCTCTTCTCACTGTTCCATCTCAAATCCGGCAACATGCTGAATTGATACACGACACGGGCGCTACCCGATCAGCATCAACAATGCAATGATGACGTAGTTGAAAAAGGCCAATCTGGGCCTATTTCCATCGCCGAAGGCGGGGATAGATGAGCCTGTGACAGGTATGGAAGGTGTCAGAGTCGTGCTATAATTCCCGCGAGTTGGCGTAAGGACGGTCACCGGGTGTGGTAAGCCTGAGGAGACTTGGGCGGCACTGTTAGTGGTTGACGCCACTAATTCAGGCGTCCAATCCCTCCAGGTAGATGAATCTGAGCTTGTAGTATTGATTTGGGGGGGCCGGCATGCACACCCCGACTTCGAAGGACCCTCCGAGGCCCTCAGAGATGTGCGGGTGTCCGTGGCGCTCATCGAGTTGACAAGGGTTATCGTCGGCGTGGAGGACACGAACTCTGGAGTTGTCCACCCTATCCACGCTTCGGTCGTCGTAGTGCGCCACTGCGGTGTCGGTGTCTTGCTGGGGGCAGGAATGACTGTGATGGATACAGCGCTCTTCGTCCAATCGTTCCAGGCCGAGCTTCTCTGATCAGTCCCCCCGGCTCCGGTCCGAGCACGAGTCGAACTCGAGGGTCGCGCGTGACTCGTCCAGTGTTCGGTGGTATTGGAGCCCACGTCTGGTGTAGGTATTTGACTGGGAAAGGTCGTGGTGGGAGGGACTTTCGTCCCGCGCTCCTTGGGAGTGCTACTCGCTCCCCACAGAGCCCAAGTATTATTTTGCCAGTGAACTGCGGTGGCCGTATGCACCATGGTCTCGGTCCTGTTGATCCCCTGGGTGGTAGTGGAAGACCAATCCGCCCAAGTTCCCGTACCTGGGCTGAAGACGTGGTCCGGTCCGTATTCGAGCGGACTGGGAATGCTACTTGAGGTAGGGGCCACCCGATCGTCCCGAGTCATACCGGGGTTAGCCTCCCTCGTGGCAGTCACAGGCGATGTACCCGAGAAGATCAGACCAGGCTCGCTTTCAGTATTGGTGTGCTTCCAATGAGCCCCAGATTTAGTCGTCCTCTCTAGGGCTCGGGAAGAAAGACCCCCCCTTCTTGTAGTACCCAGAGCGTTTACTAGGGCTGTCAAACCCGAAATGGCCAACAGAATGATGTGTAGTTTCACCATCGTTGATTGGCTCTAGGGTGGTGATAGTGAAAGCAAGGAGTGCAGGGGGGTTGAAAACAACAACAATAACGGGGACTGCAAAACGAATGTGGGCAGACTTCGTCTGGAAGCTCTACGTGATAATCGCACGAAGTTGGTGAGCGGCGATCTCGACAGAAGTGACACCCGAAAAACGTCGTTCTCGGACTACATATACTCTGGACTTAATTTGCCTGGAGTATTTAACTGAGACCAAAACGGCCAGAGCGATGAGACTGTCTTCCTTACACCGTACCGACGCCATTAAACGAGATAGGCGATTAAGACCCAATGACAAGGCGCGTTCGTCGAAAGGCACTCGTACTCGTGTATAATCCAAACCTGCGGATCCTCAGCCAAAAAGGAGCGAATAGTGGCGATGTAATACGGCCACGGAGACGGAGACTATTATCATATCCACTCTTTCTGGTAGTATTGCGGGAATCCCTAGTTGAAATGCTGTAGTCGCCATAATTTCCAGTATCACAGAGAATCCCGAAACCTACCAAGCCCCCCGACATATTGCAACTTTCTTTTCCACCCACGCTTTCTCTTTATATAGTCTAGCGTGGTTCTCTTCATGACGAATCATAACGATGCGAGGGCTTGGCAAAATCTGTTCTAAAAGACTTAGAATGTGTGTCAAGCTCGAAACACTGCCACCGTGACAACGGACACGGTCCAGAACCTCGCCGAGGTCATTCAAGATTTTTCCGTGGTGATCATGTCTCCGGGTTGCCTCTTCGTTAAGGACGATATTCTCAATATTTCAGCAGCTACTGCAGCATGAAAATACCGTGTCTC